GGCTGGGGAATTCTGGGAGTTGAAGTCCACACATCTTCAAGTCCCCAAGGTTGAGAAACACAGGTTTAGACAATAGCATCAGAAATCAGACTATCAGGGCTCCCCACTTGGTGGCTACATCATGCCAGGCCATACAATGGGGAGCAGAAGCTGAAGGTGCACAGTCCACATACTGCTTGTAGCCTCTCTGCAAGATATGATGTTGCAGAAAATGTTCACTGATTCATCAGATCTCTGCTCAAAGCTCCTCAGAGTGCTTGACTAGCTGTTTCCTTGGATTGCTCTAGAGGAGCATCAGCTTGGATCTTCAGTGTGCACACCCATTCCCCCTAGAATACTTTTTTTTTTTAATTTCCTTTTGGCACCTTTGAGTCAGACTCAATTCCCAGTGAATACATGGACAGGTGCATGCAGTTTTCTTGGCAACCTTTCTGGAAGTGGTTTGCCCTTGCCTTCTTCCTAGGCTGAGAGAATGTGACTGGTCCAAGGTCACCCAGCTGGTTTTGTGCCTAAGGCAGGACTAGAATTCCCAGTCTCCCAGTTTCTAGCCTGGTGCCTTAACCACTACACCAAACTGAATGCACGTGAATACCCAAAGCTGAATTATGTCTAGGATTATTAGATAAGGAATGGAAAGATCTGGATGACCACAAAGAGGCAGCAGAGAGATACAGAAGCCACCAGTTTTGCTGCCATCTAATAGCGGTCCAAAGTTTTGCAGCCCTATTAGGTAGCCCTAAATAGCTCCAGTTTGACCATGGGTCCATTTGGCCCATTATCTGGCCACTCGGCTCAGAGAATATTCTTACCTGAGTCAGTTAAAAGCCTAAAAGCTGCGTTCACACCAGATGGTAAGATGAATGTTAAACCAGGCTTTTGTTGGTTTGCTTGACTGCTTTTGCAACTTTTGTTGTGCAAACCCGTTTGTTTGGTTTATGCTTCAAAGCAGTGTGCAAGCCCAGAACCTGTGCTGGGTGAATATGTGTTACACTTGTTATGAGTCTCCAAAATGTTGCGAAGGGTTTTTGGTTTTCTAGATATCTGAGATATCTGGAATCTGCTGAGTCCTACTAGAGAGGCAGAGAGAGAACCCTGTGGAAGAGGACAAAATTCATCACATGGAAAAGTGTATTGACAGAAGTGACCCTGTTCTGCATTTTCCCAACTGGGAAGCTGAAACAACAATGGCAACTCTATGTTCCTTTTGCAATGGGTACTGAGTGCTCAATACGGTGTTTCTTCGTCTGTTCTGTTCTGTTCTGTTCTGTTCCGTTCCGTTCCATTCCGTTTCATTTCAGGAAGATCAATCATAAGAAGTCAGAAAGGTTTATCCCTTCTCTGGAAACAGGATGCACGATGTCAGCCTACTTATTTGAGAAGTCCCTCTCACCGATCCTCACCCCAGACAAACCCATTCACGGTGGGCGACAGCACTCGCTAGCACTGTCATTAGAGTGCAGACTTCTTTTAATTCAATTGTACCCCACTTGAACCTCTCCTCCCAAGGCTTCAGTTAAAACAAGCGGATCTACCGCCGACCTCTCTTTCTGTAACTTAGCGAGGAAGGAAGAGTTTCTGCTTTAAAGAAAGACTTGCCCAGGGAAGACTGAAGGACACAGCTCTCTCCCCACCCCACCTTTTGGGGGGCCACTCCGAAGCAGCTCCAGGTACTGTGGGTTGCCTTCTAAATGATTTGTGCTCCAAACAAACTGACTGAAACCAACCCCTAAGTGACTCTTGTTGATTTCAGCTGATCGTATCCTATAAGAAACTTCCCCAGCCTGGACTTCTTCAGATGTATTGGGGCTGCAATGCCCAGAATTTTCCCAGAACTTACTACCAGAAAAACTGGAAAGCAGTAACTTAGGGATGGCTGCAGTATAGCTCCCCCCTTTGCGAATTAGGATGGAAGGGAAGATAAAAATATTCTTTATATCAGATTCCAAAGAAAGCTACAAAAATGCAATTATTTTGTTGCATCTTTTCTTTTAAAAAACCAGATTCTCTTGATTTCTGGGCAGGTTTTTTTTGCTATTAATAGGGATCTGGAGGAATAAGAATGAGTTCCATTTATATTTCTGTGGGCTGCTACACTTTATAAATTGGGGTGTTAACCAATCAAATGATTTTGGTTGCTTATTTTTGGAAATGATCTTGGAGCTGTAGTTGAATATGAGTCAGCAAGATCACATGGCTGATAAAAATGGAAACATCATTTTAGGCTGCATCAAGAGGATAAGGTTCAAATCACAAGAAGTCATAGCTTCACTACAGTATATTCTGCACTGATCAGACCCCACCTCTAGTTCTGTGATAGTTCTGGGCACTCTATTTAAAGAAAGATTCATACCTCATTCAAAAAGGATGGCCAAGGGCTAGAAATTCCTGGAGTCTGAGGAGCTG